GATTCTATCTGATTAACTCTAGAAAGGCTTTTAGAACTAGTAGAATTTTTACGCGAATTTCGTTATATATATATATATATATACGAGATTGAAAAACTAGCTCGAATTAAATTGCTTTTCTTTTTATATATATCTTTCCAAGAAGACTAATTCTCGTTCGATTTTTTACAATTTTTAATTTCTTCTTAATTTAATTTATTACAAAGATATCTTTTAAACATTTTTATTAAAGGAAAACGAGCGTTAGTTTTTAATCCTCTATAACGTCATGTGACTTTCTAGTTACATATTTTTCTATTTTTTATATATATACATATATGTATATTTTTTTTATCATTGCATTTTATCGATATCAAACAATTCATTGATATGTTAGTTCCTTAGATTAAAAAATTGAATAAAAAATTTCTAATCCATTACAATCTCTTCCTTTACAAAACTCTGATTATAGAGGGTTAAAAAAAAAAAAAATTAGTATTCTAATTTTTCTCATCGAGGACAAATGAGTGCCTCGTTCTGTTCGATATTGAGAATCAATGTTATTAACATCGGTGGCTCCTTTATAGACGGACAAAAATTCATATACGCTAATTCATATATCCATATAGCATAATAAGCTTTCACTTTCATATTTTCCTCTTCTTTTTTTTTTTAATATCTTTTTAAATAAATTATTCGCGCAGCATTCGTTTAAAACAAGCTTACGAACGAATCGATATTTTTAATTATATATATATATATATATATATATATACATATACTCGATTTTTCTTATCGATCGTTTCGAAGACAAAGAAAATTTATACTTTTCGCTGGAATCGTATCGAGTTCATTCGCGACGCGTGATAGGGGGAGGGCATCGGTTCAAGGCAGAAATATGGCGGTCTCTGGGTCAAGAGCGACTCGGATCGATGTGAGTTTTTTTGATGTGTACACTTGCCGTGGTTTTACTTATATATAAAATTTTTCGAGAAAAAAAGAAAAACGAAAAAAAAAAAGATTGTATTCCCCCATCGTTTCTTTTGGTTTATTATATTCTCTTCGATTGATTTATCCGTATTATATAAATATTCGAAATATTCGTCCCGTTGCAAGAATAAAAATCGTGGATATAATATTTTCAAAATTTTGTTCAAACATATAAAAAAGTGTATTCGCACGAAATAGATAAAGAAAAAATTTAAGGAAATTTATAAAAATTACGGTATAATTGCAAAAATAACATCGAGGCTTATTTATTTAAATTACATATAATTTGTATAAAATAAGCTTCGATCATTTTTTTTTTTTTCCATATAAATCTTCTTCGTTATTTTCAATTTTTAATTAAAATCACTCCTTAAATTTTTTTCTGAAAAATTATCTTCGCCCGAAACATTCCTGTACGTATGTATGTACGTATGTATGTATGTATGTATGTTCGCAATCGAGTATCACACAGTGAAACTACTGTCCTATGATAAATAAATAAACAAACAAAAAAAAGATAAGTAGAAATGTCGGGAGAAATGTTAGAAAAAAAAAAAAAAGAAAAGAGCGTAGAGATGCATGCACGTGGTGTGTGGCAAAAACACTTAACATTATTATAACAGTAGGTCTGATTATTAAATAATGGCGGACGATGAACTGACGAATATATGTTTTTGTATGTGACATAAAGATTGCGGGCTGCGGCCGGAAGAGGAGGTCCTGGATCCCGGAGAAACGGAGTGCTATAAGAATCGCGTCGAGATGTCAACAACGTCAACGAAGACGCAAGCGAGGAGCAAGAATAAGATAACGAATACGCAATCGGCGCCTGCATCCAGCATGACGTCGCCGACGTCCCCCCCGACGATATTACCGTCCCCTTCCGCGAAAGAGGATCGTACGATCCTGAGCAGGAGGCAAAGGAAGAACCGCACCAGGAACCCTAGGGACCAGCGCCGCGAGCAGGACGACGAGCAAAGGATACAGGACGAGGAGCTGCAACACGAGGAGNNNNAGCAGCCCCTCTGTGACGAGCCAGATGACGTTTAACGGGGAGATGGATTCGGATTCGAGGAGGAACGAGGGTGGAAACGAGCGCTGCGAGGACAAGGGTATCATCGTGGGCATGAACGGCGCGATGACGATCGGGGCGGCAAGCGTCAATGTGATCTCGAGGAGTTGCGATTTTTTAAGCAACGAGAGAAGGCAACTGAGCCAATTCAGCGACGCTACATTGTCGTCGATATTGCGCAATTACGCGCTCACTGGGGAATACCTCGCCCACCTTGGCTATCCCGTCGAATGCAGTTATTATCCGGGATGCGCTGTATTCATTAACAACCCGCACCCTATAGGCCACCGTATATTGAGGTATCATCGTTTGGACGCGAACGCGCAGGAATTCGTGCCCGGCTCCTATCAACGGTGGACCACGACCGAAAGCGAGGGGGACAGCGGGAACTCGAGCGGAAGCTCGGTGGAGAATTCGGACTTCNGCAGGAGGTGACCTCGTCGGACAGTTCGGACATCGGGGAATATTCGTCCTCGTCCACCGAGTCGAATTTGTTCGATTACAATTACCAGAGGGTTAGAAGGCACTCGAGCGTGGAATACTACTCGACTCTGGAGTTGGTGGCGATCGAGCGAAAGTGCGTGAGATGTCATAAAAGTTTTTACGTGAATAGGGAGAATGGTGAATATCTTTACGAGGAGAAGTGCGTCCATCATTGGGGGAAACTGCGCAGTGGTTTAGGTGGTGCTCATGGTGATTTGTGGGAGTGTTGTCGGAGCCGTGAAACGTCCCGGGGCTGTACAACAGCCGCCTTTCACGTTTGGACGGGGGCAGTCCCGGGATACAACGGTCCATTCGATGATTATGTGCGTACGAAACTGGCGAGAACGGTGCCACAAGACGGCAATTACGGTGTTTACGGTCTTGATTGTGAGATGTGCTTCACTCGACGCGGCCTAGAGGTGGTCAAAGTTACCGTGGTCGACATGGACGGAAGGGTCGTTTACGACACTTTGGTGAAACCTGACGTGGAGATAATCGATTACAATACGAGATTCAGCGGTATATCGGCTCAAGATCTCGAAAATGTCTCGAAACGTTTGAGCGACGTTCAGCAAGATCTCCTAAGTTTTATATTCGCCGAGACCATATTGATCGGCCACGGAATGGAGAACGATTTGCGCGCTTTGAAGTTGTTACATACGACGGTGATCGACACGTGCGTCGCATTCCCCCACTTCCTCGGTTATCCATTTCGATCGAGCTTGAAAACGTTGGCGAGGACTGTATTGCGAAGGGACATACAAGTATCGGAACACGATTCCGTCGAGGATTCCAGGATAGCTGTTGACCTTATGTTGAGAAGGGTGAAACACGATTATATAGATAGTTAATGTACAAAAAAAAACAAAAAAAAGAAAGGCTGCCGAAGAAAAAAGAAGATATATATAGTAATACAAAATATATCAATATATAATTATGTTATTTATATATGTGTATATATATGTGTATATATATATATATATATATACACATATATACACATTATATACAGTGAACGAGTTGTCGAATTTCTTTTCGCAAGACGAAACTGCGTATGGTTGAGAATATCTTTTTTCTTCCGGTCGAACTTGCGATTCGAAATTCGCGCGTTTGCGTGATCACGTGACTTCGCGTAAGAGATTCCGAGTCGTTGCGAGAGGTTAGCGTATATATCGATAATTCGCAATTTTTTTTTTCTTTTTCGGCCGCTAACGAGAAATCTACACAACGAATCTGTTACGTTTGGTCGCGTCGATCTGCAATAACTTCCGTCAGTGTTCATTTCAAGTAAAGTCTGTGATATGTTACATATAGAGGAAAAGAAAGGGAAAAAAATATAGAAGTGTTGGTCCCCCGCCCTTCCCTCCGTAGCGATGCTCGTCACACACGGGGACGGCACTTTTTCATTTGCACAAATTGATTTAAACATATCCATACGTACATAATTCATACGTTCAATATCATGAGTAAAGAGCAATAGTTGAAAAAAAATGTTATGATATATATATATATATAGTCGAATTTTTGTGCACATCGTTGCCGAGGAAAAAAAAAAGATTTAGCTCAATTATTCTTCAATTACTGTGATATTCTTCTTTTTTCTGTGATCATATATAAATGAATCTCCGTGATGATTCTAATCGAAGGTTTTTTTTTTTCTTTTTTTCTTTTTCTTTTTTTTTCTTTTTTCTTTTTTTTTTTTTTTTTAAATAAATTTCTATTTCTTTGACACATGCCTGATATATATTCGTTTCAAAAATCTAGACGAAAATAGCGTGAGGTGAATAAAATCGTCGTGAAATTAATTCAATTTATTTTTGTTCATTACATATTGTATTCACTTCGTCACAATTATTCCGTGTGAACTTGAAAATTTAGAAAGGGAAAAAAAAAAAAAAACACGCTTATATGATCTGAAAATCATATAATGGAAAAAATTTTAAATAAATCTTGGATAGGAAAAGAAAAATTGAAAAAAAAATTCGAATTCTTTTTTTGTATATATATATATATATATATAGTTTCATGTTACGACTCATGTAAAAATACAGACACTCGATTACTTACGTTACATTTGTATTATATTTTTCGAATTAGTGCGAAAAATAAGTAATAATTCACGCAGTAAAGTATATATAACTTGTACGTGACTTGTGAGGGAAGAGAAAGATTTTCTTTTTTCGATTAAAAAAAAAAAATCTCTTCGATGACGGAAAATAGCAAATTTATTATTATTATATAACGTAGAACAATCGTGACCAATCTGATTTGAAATCGTTATTTATTAATATTGGTCAGCCAAAATAATAATAACGTTTCTATGCACGGGACTATTTTCCTCGGCAAGTGATGTACGATTAATATACACGCACTGTCTCACGCTATGTAATGTATATACATCGAGTCTCTCGTATTTCATGGATCATGTAAAACATATGTTTGTATTTTCCACGCATGTATATATATATATACATGTACACACGCGTCCAAAATATATATGTGTATGTATACATACGTACATTCATATATTGTATCGACGACCACTACTTCTCCACCATTGCGATTTCTTCTTGTCATGCATATTTCATCCCGCGTTGTTTTTTTTTTTTTTTTTTTTNGTTCGTAATATTTTTTTTCCTTTCTTTCTTATATATGTTATACGTGACGTCTCGTGCAAACGACTGAAATCGATTCGGATCCCCCTGTGAATCGGTGGGATATCCTGATCGGGCTGGGAGCAGAGCCCGAATTTTTCGCCTCACGCTACGAATTAAGATAATGGTCTCGCGATTTTATACTTTATTATCGACGTTATTATATTTGACGCCCCGTGTTCATCTATCGGATGATATTAAATAGATGATGATGATGATGTAATAATAATAATGTACATAGCGATGTTCTCGAAAAATGCGCATGATTATTATATATGTATAAGTATTGAGCAATTTTTTTTTTTTTTGTATCTTCTTGAGAGCCAGGAAAATTATATCACGACAACAAGTTTTCATGGGGTGAGGGACGATCATCATTCTTGGAAACTGTTGCCTCGTATTGAAAATTATTTTATTTAAATAATCTGTCACCTTATCTGTTCATCCTATTCTTTATTTCTTTTTTTTTTTTTTTTTTTTTTTTTTTTTTTTTTTTTTTTTTT